GGGCGGCCCCACGGCGGCGGGGGGGCCCATTGGCTTCAGCAAGGAGGGGAGGCGAACAGCCGAAGTGGCTGCCAGCAGGGCGGTGCCCAGGGGAGGGCTCTGTGGGTGACCGAAGCCTGGGCACTGGGAGACTAGGGCGAGTCTTCTTCTAGGCGGTGTCTAAGGCTCTGTCTTGAAGACATTTCTAATAATTGGGAGGAGTTAAAGCCAAAGAAAGTTTCTTTATGCTGTTTAAATGTCCTCATTTTTAGCTGTAGGATATTGTGACAGGTGAACATACAAGTGACATGAGATTTGTCTTTTTTTTTTTTTAATAATTATTTATTTTGAGGGGGAACCAGCAGGTGGCGTAGTGGTTAAGGCTCTGGACACTCCCACATGGCTGACCATGGTTTGAATCCTGGACCTGGTGGCTTGCTTTCTCACTGTCCCTCTCTCTCTCTCTCCTTGTGCCTCTCTTTGGTCAAATTAAAACAAATGAACGAGGGAACCAACAGTTAGCGTAATGGCTATGTCACTGGACTCCCACATAGTCGACTGTGTTTCGTGTCCTGGACTCGGTGGCTTAAAACTCACGCCGGGCACATGTGCGTGCGTGCCCAAGATCCCGAGAGGAGAATGGAGGAGAAAGGATTGCGGCATGACCATCCTCCCTGGGGAGTGACTTCTCGCTTTCAGTCTCTATGTCTCTCTATGTCTGGCGAGTGCACGCCCCTATAGCAAAAACCTCTCAAAAAACAAACAAACAAACAAACAAAAAAACCCAAATGAACAAATAAATAAAATAAAATAAAATAATTTTTAAAAAAGAATTTTTTATTTTGAGACCAGTTGTTGCACTCCCACGTAGTTGACTGTGGTTCAAGTTCTGGACCCAGCTGCTTAAAACTCACACTGGGCACATGTGCGTGCCTGCCCAAAATCCCAAAAGGAAAATGGAGAAGAGATTGCGGTGTGGGGTGATTTCTTGTTTTCTATCATTTTGTCTCTCTGGTGAGCACACATACCCTATAGCAAAAATCTCTCTCTCAAAAAAAAATTATTTATTTTAATTTTATTTATTATTATTTTTTAATTTGCTATAAGGCATATGTGCTCACTAGAGAGAGAGGGAAAGAAAGAGAAAGCAAGTCTCTAGGTCCAGGACACTCGAATCGTAGGCAACCATGTAGGAGTCCAGTGCCTTAATCACCACGCTAACGTCTGGCCCTGAGCTTTGGCTTTCTTAAGAAAGCAACCAGCCGACTGGCTAACAGAAAGTTTTTCCCTCTGGTGTGGGCAGTCGAGTATAATTCATTCATTAAATCATTCATCTGTGGAAACCCTGCTGGGTTCTGGAGTCAGGTTGCTTGGACCTAGATCTCGCCCTGCCACTTAGTAGCCCAAGCTGCGCTTCTTGTGTCCACAGATAAACCCAGTTCTACTGCCCACTCCACTCAGAGTGAGATTCTGCAGCTCCTCGCAAGCGCTCCGAGGGCCTTCACTCACCCCAGAGGCAGGCGGGTCACAAAAAGGAGTCTTATAAATCATGCTTGTGGTTTCATATATCTCATTTAATTCAGGTTCCTCTTAGGCCTGAACTATCTGGGTTTTACTAATTCATCTCTAATATGAAATGTGGATAGTATCAAGTACCCACCTCACTGGGTTTTAGGAGAATCAAATCATATCAAGTGGGTAGGAAAGTGCCGGGCCCAACGCAGGCGTCCAATGAATGTGAGCTATGATTACAGGTAGCTAATGTACAGAGAGTCACATAATCCCTCATTAATTAAAGCGTTTGTCCATATAATGAAATGCTGCATAACTAAACTCCAGAAGGAGGTACTGGGTTCACTGTGGTGATCACACAGTGGAGCGATTACGGGGGGATTTGATTTAATTACTTTTCTTATCTGCTTCCTAGGATTTTCCCCGTGCACATGAACCGTTCGTGAGCTGTGAAAGCAATCCCATTTGACCATCTGTTTGTTGCTTTACCGGGCCCCGTGACACCGCCGTCCCCCGTGTGCTTGGATGGCTGCAGTGCAGACACCGCAGCAGCACGCAGGGCAGCCCACTGCGTCTGCAGGCAGCCGGGCTCTCAGAAGGTTCTTTCCTCGCTCGTCTGCTTGTAGTTTCTGACACTCATGTTTGTTCAATGAATACTTATTAAACACTGCTTTCATTCCAGATGCCGTAGTATGTTCTGAGGAGAAATGGGGAATGAAAGCCAATGGAGTGCCTTCACGGGGCTGGTAATTTAGGGAGGTTTGCAGCCTGTCAACCAAAAATGAAATAAATATGTCATTACAAACGGAAATGCAAGGAGCATGGTGCAGTGAGCGGGTACGACGACGATGAGGGCCTGAGGCGTCGGGAGGCAGCCCTGGGAGGTGCTGGTTAAGCTGGGAGCTGAGGAGTGTGGAGAGTTACTGGACGGCTTGAGCGGGATGAAGTGAACAGTCCAGAGGAGAGACGCTGCCTTGGGGCTGCACAGGGTGTCTAAATCCACTTTCCTCTCACAGTCCTTCAACTGTTTGAAAAATGACTTCTTCCCTGGTGACTGTCTTCCTCCCATTTCCTTCAGCTTTGCTTGCTAGGATGTGATTTTACAACCTGTTGTTACTCTGAGGTCCAGTTTAGTAACCTTTTTTTTTGGTCCAGTTTTGCTATAGGGTGTGTGCACTTGCCGAAGAGAGGCGGAGAGAGTAAACTGAGAATGAAGGCCACACCACAGTCCCTTCTCCTCCATTCTCCTCTCAGGATTTTGGGCACACACACGCATGCGCTTGGCGTGTGTTTGAAGCTGCTGGGTCTGGAACTTGAACTGTGCAGTTGACCACATGGCATCTAGCTGCCTTAACGACCACACCACCGGCTGACCCCACAACCCTTTTAAAAAAGACTAGCAATTGTATTGAGGTGTCATTCACATACCATACAATCCCCTCATTTAAAGTATTTAATTCATTGCTTTTCAGTATACGGCGGGGTTATATAACCATCGCCACAATCAATTTCTAAACATTTTATCACCCCCAAAAGGAGCCCCCACCCCACAGTCATTAGTACTCACTCTTCACTTCCCCCCGGAAACCCCAACCCAGGAAATCACTAATTGCTCTCAGTCTCTATAGGTTTACCTATTTGGGACATTCCATGTAAATGGAATCATATAGTACGTGATCTTTTGTAACTGCATTTACTTACCGTAATATTGGATGGTTGGAAAATTCATGACACATTTTGCATAGAAAATCAGAAAAATAAGTCATGACTTTCCTGACAAACCAATAGGGGTTTTTGTTTGTTTGTTTGTTTTAAGAAAGAGTTTTGCTATAGGACACATGTGCTGGGTGGAGAGACAGAGAGACAGAAAGCAAGAAAGCAAGAAATCACCTCCAGAGGGGATGGCGGTTGAACGTGGATGATCACAGGTCTCCTCACCAGGTATATTTCTTTCTTTCTTTCCTTCTTATTTTTTTTTTTGTTTTTAGAGGTTTTTGCTATAGGACACATGTGCTGGGTGGAGAGACAGAGAGACAGAAAGTGAGAAATCACCCCCCGGGGGGATGGCCATGCCACAATCCCTTCTCCTCCATTCTCCTCTCAGGATCTTGGGCACATACGCACATATGCCTGGCATGAGTTTAAGCCACTGGGTCCAGGACTCGAACCGCAGTCGACTGCATGGGAGTCCAGCAATGTGGCCATTATGCCCTCTGCTGGTCCCTCACCAGGTGTATTTCTAATACACACATTACTTACTGTGAATAATTCAGTTTCTCTGAATTATTCTTACCCATCTATCTTCGTACCCTCGGGCTGCTGTAACAAAATTCCTTATACGGGGTCATTTGTAAACAGGAGACATTTATTGCTCTCCTGGAGGCAGGAAGGTCAGGATCAGGGCCTCAGCAGATTCCATGTGTGGTGAAAACTTACTCCTCATAGATGGCACCTTTCGTGTCTGTCCTCACATGGCGGAAGGGACAGACAAGTTCCTGCAAGCCTCTTTTATGAGGGAGGTAATCTCATTCGCAAGGGCTCTGCCCTCCTGTCCTGATCACCTCCCAAAGACCCTCCCTCTGAAAACCAACACACTGGAGACTAGAAGTCAGCATACACGTTTTGGAGGGACGCGCACCTTCATGCTGTAGCACCACCCTACGTCAAGCGCCGTGGAAATCAGTTCTGTCCTGTGGGTTGTAGGGAGGCCGAGGTGGATCTGGGACATCTAAGCAATGGTGTCCTATAGATGAGAGGCGTGGGGATTCACTAGGTGGGATGATGGACATCTGGGGCAGAAAGGATGGTAAAAACACAGTCCCAGATCTAGGAAAATGCAAGTGACTTTGGGCCCAGAGAATAACTAGAGTTTCCAGAATACAGACCCATAGGACACAGGGCTGGGGCTGCCCCAGGGGGAGCTGCCTGCGAAGGAGAGGAAAGCCGGGGGACTTCTTGCTGGTGCGTCTAGTCCAGAGAGAATGGGCTGAAGTAAACAACCGGGGACCTGGAGAAGCCCAGAGCAATAGGAGGCAACCAGTGAGTGGGAAAGGCCGAGAGAGATGAGCAGACCAGGCCAATGTACACGCCCCAGAGGACTGCCGGGGGTGTGATAACCAGGAGGCCCCTGGGATGTGCTGGGCAAATCCCTCCACCAATTTGGCATCCATTATTTTCCTTTGTTTTTAACTTCCCTCTTCACAAGACACCTTCCTATCTGGGATATTCCAAATGGAACCATGCGGCATGTGATTTTGGGGGCCCACACTCACCAACTGAGCAGAACCATGACTGTGGGTCATGGGGGATCCTCCCACATCTCTTCTTCGAACATGTCTCACGTCTGAGAGTACGTTTCCGCCTCTGAGACATCAGGCCGTTGTGTCGATGTGTGGTGGCATTTGCTTGGGCGAGGACAGTGCACGGAGATGCACCTGTGTCCCGTCCCCACTCACTGCAGTGCAGTTGGAATCAAGCACTGAGCAGAATGGGGGAAGAGCGAGTGGATGGCCTGGACCTCCCCCAAGGGGTGGGGCTGGCATGGGGCAGACCCAGGTCCACCTTCCCGGGCTTGAGGCACAGTCCTAACAGGGCCAAGACAGACAGCCTAGCTGGGCTAAGTAGGTCTCAGTCATGATGGAGCTCAGGTGCCAGGTTGAGGACTAGGCTATTCTATGGCCAGGGGAGAGCCAGCCAGGTTCCTAAGGAGAGGACTGATGCGATCAGGTGTGTCTGTATTTGGAGAAACCCACTGGCAGTACGAGGCAGGGGTGGCAGTACGAGGCAGGCGAAAGAGTAGACAGGGAGGCCAGACCAGAGGCTGATTCTGATTCTGTTGCTGAGGGGGGAGCCAATGAGAACTTGGCCCAGAGCAGAGAGCCTGGAGAGGAGGAGGAAGCTGGAGAGGAGGCCACAGGGACCGGTGCCTAATTGGATGTGGCGTGCAGTCCAGATTGCCTACGGGTGTCTGGCCGCACAGCCGAATCGATGCTGCTGCTCTCGGCTCCCGCACGGAACACAGTGAGATGATCTTGCACCGTCTCTGTATTTTGCAGCAGATTATCTTGAATGACTCACATTCTTGAGGCAGAGATTCTGGGGTTGGGTGGGGAGTGAGACATAGGAGGAATGAGCCTGAAATGTTCAGACGGTGGTCTTGATTCTCCACTCCTCTTCATGCCGCTGGCGGCCTGACATATTGCTAGGGGAGAGCGGAGCACAGAGACGTGTTAAACGGGGAAGTGTTGGCTATAGATGGGAGGATTTCATTCTCCCCACTGAGTTTCCTCCGCCAGAGCCAGGGAAGGAATGAACAGAAGACCGGCCCCTCCCTGTACCTGACAGCGTTGGACGTAGCTCAGCCCTGATCCCCATGGAAGACTGCGTTGAGGGCTCGTGCCCAGCACAAGCTGCCACCATTTTTCCTGTTGTCACTATTTCCTGTTGTTCCCATTGGGTTTTTTATGTTGTTGTTGTTATTATTTTTTAGAGAGGCTTTTGCTATAGGGCACATGCATTTGCCAGAGAGATAGGGAGAGAAAGAGAAAGTGAGAACTCACCCCCCCAGGGGAGATGGCCATGCCATAATCCCTTCTCCTCCATTCTCTGCTTGGGATCTTGGGCACGCACGCACACCCAGCGTGAGCTTTTAGCTGCCAGGTTTGGGACTGGAACCACGGTTGGGTGTGATGTGATTACTGGAGACACCCCGGTATGTGCTAGTGGGAGTCCAGCAACATAACCACTACGCCATCTGCTGGTCTCCAGAACTCCATTGTTTTAAGCAAGTTTACCTTTCAGCCAGGATTCGTTCGCTACAATTCCATGTGTTTTTCAAGCCATTGAGACTGGGATTCAAACCATTCAGACATGTGGGATCTGGCTTCCTTAACCACAAGGCCATGACCTGGTCCTGGAAATTGTTTCAACATAGCCCGATAATCGATTTCTCTGTCAGTAAAATAAGCCGAGTTACAATACAGTAGCTAAGCAAATACAGTTGGAAGCATTATGTCGCCCAGAGCATGACAGGAAGTCTTTTAAATCATTGAACCAAAAATCATTGAGGATTCTAGGCCTTTTGAAACCTTCTTGTATTTCTCATTAAAAGGAGTCTGATCATCCTGTCAAGAAGGGAAGCCCCCATTTTAAAAACACTAGCGTGAGTGGCAAACTCTCTGGGAGATCATGTCCGCCCAGGCCCTTGGAGTGAGACCTCAGAGCTGTCTCACACAAGCAAGATGGCACCTCCTGTGCTTCCCACAGCTGCATGTCACACCAGCCTGGAGTGAGCAAGCCAGGAGCGTGAGCCGTCAAGCGCCTCCTCCGCGAGCTCCTTCAGTGAAGGGGCCCTGTCAAGTCAGAGGTTGGCACCATTGAAAACTCAGGGGCCTCTGAGACAAGGTTGAGAGTGCATTGATCAAACTGTAATTTGGAGCGTCGCTGGCCTGGCACCTGGCCAGCATTCTCCGCTGCTTGTGTGGGGTGCCAGGGACCAGGCCAGACTTTGGGAGATGGCAGCTGAGCAGGGAGACATTGTCTCTGGGATTTGAACAAGGTGGTCTGGGAGATTTGTACAGTTCTCCCCCGTCAGAGGTCAGATGATACAAATGTTGCAGAAAGAAGGATTTTTTGCAGCTGGAAGGGGCTTCAGAGATCCTCCAGGCAGGGTCATCCCCATG